AGTGGGGGGGGGGGATATGACAGGTGTGTGGGGAGTGGGGTTGAGCTGTGTGTTTTTGTGTTTGTGTGGTTCTAAAATGCAAATGACTCAGACTATGCCTTGTGATGGTTCTTGGTAAAATTGTGAACTCTGTGATTGGCAGTAAGTCATTCAGGTTTTGTTTGTTATTGAGATTTTGCGTGCACACACGTACACGTACATTTCTGAAGTGATGAGTGTTGGTTGATGTACAACTTCATGAAGATTTCCAGTGTTTGTGAAAGAAATTGTTGATGTCTTTTTAAAAAGCTTTTAATGTCTATCACGGACTGGTTAGAATTGTGAAATTCCCAAGGGGAGAAAGAGCAGTCACATTTTAGAGTGAGAGAGGAGGAGAGTGAGTGAGAGAGAGGAGGAGAGAGAGAGAGAGAAGGAGAGTTAAAACAATGGTCTAGAGTTAGAGCCCACAGGGTGTGAGGACACCACAGTGTAACATCTTTTCTCAAAGGGACTGCCGGACTGGTACCACAGTGGGTGACATGCTGGGCTACGGAGTGGATGGGCCCTTGTTTGAATCCCAGACTGTGTTTTCTTGGACTCCTGTTGTTTTGTGGAGTTTTCAAGGCTTTCACTCTCAACCCATTTGGCTTGGTCCTATCAGAGCCACACAATAAATTGGGAAGTCCCACCTGTTAACCCTTTCGTTGCTAGTGGGTATACGTTCCTACTGTCAGAGCTGATTTTCAAACTGAGCCCGTTACCCAAGACAGCAGCCTGGTGTCTCATTGTTAATGGACGCGTGGCCTCCTAGATCTAGCGCACTGTTGACATATTTCGGACCTTGGGTCGTCAATTGTGTCACTTTTCTCATTTCTCTCATTCCCAATTTCCGAATAACCTGCAAATCAAAGTTAAAAAGTGAATATTTTGCCTTTTTAAAGTCATTTCAATGTTTACATTTTGTGAAAGCATGCAGCTACCCCTCAAGACTAGATTTGTATAAATATCAATTGCTTTCAAGCCTAGCAGTAAAGTAATACTTGCAAATTTGGTCCCGATGTGAACATCTTTTATTCCGGAATAAGAATCAACGCAGAGTTTGTGGCTAAAAAACTCCGTACCAAAGAACTAGAACCAGGTTATTAACACGACGTACATGTAAAGTCATACAGGAAACCGGGAGCAGCACATTTTGCCAACTTCCATGAGCTTCCACAGAGTTAAAAAATGACCCAATTTCATGAGGTACCAGGTACGTCATAGTCATTAGACAACGAAGGGGTTCAATAAGCTGATGGTGTTGATGGGGTCGTTAGACCCACACAGGTACTTGCTTAGGAAGGCACGAGGTCCCACACATTACTACTAAGGTTTCTCCTAGTGGCCAAAGTGTGACTGCTGTTATCTCCTCCTCTCGCTCTCATGCTGTCCCAAGTCCTACGCGAGACACCAGATTTTTAGAAGTCTATATTTTGCCAGTTTATTGGTCAGGGTTTTTGAAAGTTGATTTTACGTGAAATTAGGAAAGAATTTTTCAATGGACATTGCTTATGTGGTGGCTCAAATGAAACACTTGGTGAGAAAGTCAGATTGTTTTGAATTTTTTAAAACAAATATCTTTCAGTATAAATTTTACCTTTTTGGAGAAAGTAACGATTTTTTAATATCAGTGTAAAGAAATGTATTCTAAAAGGTTGTTTTGTACAAGATTTTTTTAGCTTCTGGCTCGCGTTAACCATTTTGTAAACTTGCTTTACTGAAGTGTGGAATGTTTATGTGTGTTTGCTACATGTGTGCCTTTGTCTACCAGTCTATATAGGGTGGAGTGTTGTGTTAGTGTATGGCTGTGCTGTGTCCTTGGTCAAAACACCTGAGCTGATGCATGGAACATTTCTCCAGTTTGACTGCTATTTCATGGGCAGAACACAGTTGTCTCAAACAGTTTTTCATACTTTAAGAAAGCTTTTTAGAAAAGGACTCAGTTGGTGTCATGCTGATTTACAGAGCTGGCCCTGATTCGAATCCCAGACTGGGCGATCCTGAACTTGGTCGTTTTGCAATTGTGTTAAGATCTTGAGATCTGAGTCTCCTCAGAGTAAATGAAGCGGCGTCTGTGAGTGTGAAGTAGCAGTTAGACACATGGCTGTCGCATGCAGGAGACACAAGTTCAGTTCTCAAGTGGGGAGAATTTTGATCAAGTATCTCTGTCTTTCTGCTAGGATGTTGCTGCATCCCCCTCGGCCTGCGTTGGCCCTGATAGGCAGGGTCGGAAGCCCGCCCGCCTCCTAAGTGATCTTTAATTAGAAAATAAATGTACAAATTACTTGATTGTGAGGAACTGTGACTTCTGCTTTTCCTTGTCAAAAATTGTTTTTGAGGAATTTTTTTGGGGCAAACTTTCCTGTTCTCTTTGCCAACCTGTTATACGTGTATATATTTTTTTGGTATAACCACGCTTGAATGGTTATGTCTGTATATATATTTCTTGTTGAACACTTTTAATTTTTGAGAGAGATTTTTATCATGTGATATTCGTTTAATTCACTTTCACATAGTTGATGTTTATTTATTTATTACCCGACACCGGCTTGATATAAACCATCTAGCGATCAAGTAGGGGGAGGGAGGGGAGCCTTTGTTCAACATTGGACTTTTTGCTGCTCACTAACCATGTGGATCTTCATCGGATCCCTTTGCAAATATTTCCATTGCATACAATGTTCACAGCATACAACTGTATCATAGTGCACAATGTTCACAGCATAACTGTGAAGTATTAATGAATTAACACTCATAAAGAAAACCCGTTTGATCGAACAACCCAGCAAATATTTGCATTTCCCACAACTGCTTTAACTTTGACCTCATCTGCTTGCTTAATCTGGGGGATGTGCCCCATGCCACCAGGACTACGCTACCACACAGACAGCACAGATC